AAATCAAAAATCGAAACTAAAATCGATTAAAATTTTAAAACTCAGTTAAAATCATTTAATTGTAACGATTTTAAATGATTTTTATTTAATCCGATTAATTGGCAAAAATTGATTATATAAAATAAATAAAAACAGATAAAAGTAGTAGATCTTGTTCTAATCAAACGAAATATTTTTCAGGTATATAGCAAATATGTAGTGTATGGTTGATACTGTATGTATAGTATGGTAGTATATAGTAATCATGCATGTATGATATTGAGAAATGTCTACAACTAATGAATGGAAAGTTACTAAAGGACTTACTGAATTATTAAGTCCTTTTGAAATAGCTACATGACTTTAAAGTGGACAACAATATCCTACTCTTAGTCTGATTTATCCAACTATGCTATCCTTAAAAAATCTACTTTTAACAGATTTTAATCATTTCAAATCTAGTGAAGCAAAACTTGTAAGAGATGAGATCCAAGAGGATTTGTCAATTAGATGGGATTATCCAGAAAATATAGGAATATATGCAGTATTTTTATGATCTGCATTTCAAAGATTTATATTTTATTGATCAAGTTGATCAAGTATGCATTTATTTTTTTAAAAAATTAAAATATTTAGACTTTATTTATTTATTTATTTTATTTAAGTGTATAAAGACCAATTTATTGAAGAACTATGTGTTGAATAACAAATTTCTACAGCATCTTCTGATATAGAACAATCTTCAACACTGACAACTTTAGGTTCTTCTGTTATGAGCATTTTATTTGTAAAAAAAGAATAATACAGTTCAAACAGTTGAGAAGGATGAATTTACAAAATGCCTTAATGAAGAAACTTTGCCTGTACTTGAACAATATGATCCTTTTGAATGGTGGAGAGTTAATAAAATTCATTATCTGCAATTAACAATACTTATACAAAAATATCTTTCTATACCTGCAACTTCGATACCATCAGAATGTCTTTTTCAGATGCTGGAAACTAATCATTCGTGATCGTAATCGACTCAGTACATGTCTTGTCAATCAAATAATATTTCTGAAATAAAATAAGAAATTTATGAATATATTGCATTAACATTTTAATTCATTTTGTTTAATACTTAGTTTTTTTTTTATTTTAATCAATAAAGATTATGATATTAACTTGCTTAAAAGTAAAGATTCTTTTTGCATTACTAAATTTAATAAAATAATTTTAAAAAAATCTTTTGATTTGCCGATTATCTGATTTTCAAAAATGAAACTGTTAATCATTTTCAATAACCGATTAATTGTTTGAAAAATCAATTTTTAACCTTTCAATTTTCGATTTTAGTTTTTAGAATCGATTTCGATCCCTACTTCGACCGTCTCTCACGCAAATTTTATAGACTGTAAGTATTTCAACTGTATTATTATGAAAATATTATAGACCGTAAATCTTTTGAAGTACTTTGACTATAGTATCACGCAAACTTTATAAACCGTAAGTATTTCGACCATAATATTACTCAAATATTATAAACTGTAAACATTTTGAAGTACTTTGACTATAGTATCACACAAACTTTATAAACTGTAAACCTTTTGAAGTATTTTGACTGTAATATTATGCAAACTTTATAGACCATAAACCATTCAAAGTATTTCAACCATAGTATAGCGTAAACATTACAGATCATAAATCTTACGAAGAACTATATCAAAAACGTAAATTTTAAGTAAACATATGCTATAATACACCCATAAATTTACGAACCATAAATCTTATACAATACTTCGCATTAAAAATATTCCTGATATATGTCGATCAATTTGACTGGTCATTATATTTTTAAAAAAATGCATTGTATACCATATATATATCAAAAAGGGGTTTTAGGGATAAATCACCAAATTGCTTCCGAATCAATTCTAGCTATACAAATCAATTATCAAATTTTAAACTCTAGTGTATTTTGACTCAATTCTAGATGATAATATCGAACTTAGCTTAGAATTAACCTTCAGATATCAAGAATTATACTGTTTAATATAACCATTCTAGCCTGATTTTAATCCCAAATAATATATCAAAAAATTTTTACTATTCTGTTTGCCTTAGGAGGGGCCACCGAAATCAAGGAATAAAGTCATATGATTTGAGCTGGGCCTGACATTGCAAACCCAATATGAATAATAACTTTTATGCTATTCTGCTTGCCTCTAGAGAGGCCATCGAAAATCAAGGAAAAAAGTGACGCGATTTGAGCTGAACATGATAATGCAAGCCTAAACTGCATACCAAAGTCAAAAAGTCTAACCAAAAAAATTCGCATAACCAAGTCTATCAAAAAAATCTAACCAAAAATCGCATAGCAAAGTCTATCCAAAAAAATTAACCAAAAGTTAATATTTATTCTGAGTTTTTAAGGCTTTACACGTAATCTGTTATAGTATTGAATCACATAATAACCTTTAACATGTGATGTACACCGCCTAGAAAATGAGCCAGTAGGCTTGCCACATATACAACATGGTACACATACCTTAGTTTTCCAATGCTCATAACACCCTTCTTCACGCATGCAGGACTTATCACAAGTCTTGCTAGTATTGTGCAAATATGGACAGGAATATTCTCTGATCATTTTGATATATAGGGAAATAATTAATTAAAGAGAAAATTTTGTAAAGGTATTGGTATTATATTTTACAAATAATTAACCTATACCAAGGTAAATAATTATTTAAAGAAAAAAAGTTTGAAAGATACTATATATAAAACAGAATGGTAAAAAGTAATCGAATTTGTTATCGATATGATAATGAGTTTACTACACCTTAAAAACTTTGTCAACATATAAATAGAAAGTTTAAATGCAAACTAAAACCAGTATTAAGTATAACTCCAATAGTTTATATCCGAGAAAGTAACTGTCGAAAGGAAACTACTCCTTTATCTATAGAAAATTTAATCAACTGGTTAGCAAATCCTGAGATAAAAAATAACCTAAGCATCATTAGTAAAAAAATTCCAAAAACAGATGCGGAATGGTTTGATCTAATAGAAAATTCTTCTAATAGAAGTACTTCTAGAATCAGATCACGAAAGAAAATCAAAGTTTCCCAACCAGAAGAAAATCTTGAAGCTGGACCTGGTCCAGCAACCCAAGCACATAAAAATCGATCTTTAATAAGCAAATAGGTAGGCAAAGTTCCTCATCCTGACAACAATCCTAAATATGCTTTTATTCAACCAATAGCTGATCTTATATAATATAAAGAAATTCTATACATGCCTCAACTTATGGGGTTAATTCATCTGAAAATAACAGAAGTTCTCCAAATAGAGATTTATAGAAAAGAACAAATAAAATCAGCCATAGTAGTATTATGTCTGTATTTGATTACTAAAAGAAACCAGATGGAACAAGTGATAAATCATATATAGAAAAACATCAAAGAGGGAGAATGCGATCGATTCTTTTAGAAGGAAATATAGATGAACATATAACAAAAACTGCGGGAAAAATAAATAATCAGATTGAGAAAACATTAAAAAAGGGATCTGGTTATGTTCTTGAACAAATTCTTAAAATATCTATTGAGGTATATACTTTACGACGAGCTCTTGGAAGATCTTTCATCCCCACCTCCAAAAAGCTTACTAATACAAAATGTACTATCAATCCAGATAATTACGTTCTTATAAATCCAGAAACAAATAGACCTTCTAAAATCTGCCTTCAAGGTGCAATAGGTGTTTACTTTGCTCATCAGGATGGACATACAAATAATCTCAATCGAATTTTTAAAGCTAAGAATCTTAAAATCTACTTAGATATTGTTAAGCTAGATGGAATTCCAAAGCCTACTCCCATCTGCCCACGAATATTTCAAAAGATTGAGGAGATGAATCCAGATATCTCCATCAATATCTGGGAATGGAAAGAAGAAACAACTACTCCAAAACCTGTGATAGCTAGTAAAAACTAAAAAAAAAAAACATAAAATTCAGTTATTAGCCCTTACAGATATTACTAAAAATAATGAGACAGATAAGTATAGGCAAAAGAACTATTTTCTCTGGATTAAGAATCCTAGTAGATTAATTTATGGTAATAATACGCATAAAGCTAAGAAACATCTATGTGATAGATGCACTATAAGCTGGCCTTCTGAAAAGTCTCTAGAACATCATTTAGAATGATGTTTAGGAATACATAAAAATACCCTTCAAAGAGTCACAATGCCAGTGAAAGGGGTCAATGATTACGAGAAGTTCAAAAACTATGGTTGAATGATCAATGCTTCATGTGTTATTACAGTTGACTTTGAGGCTAATAATAAGAAATGTAATGAGACATATAATAGAAGTATGATTAAACTCACTGAGCAGAAGGCTAACAGTTTCTGCTATTTGGTTCACTAGATCGATACTGGAGATGTCTGGGGTCCATTCCTATACAGAAGAGAAAATGTCACACAAGAATTCATTTGAAAAATTGATCAAAAGCTGGTCAAAATCAATGAGATCCTAGCTATTAAATATGAGCGAATTGAGACCAAAGAAGACAAAAAAAATTTTGCAAAGGTAATTAACTGTTGGATCTGTAAAGGTAAGTTTGATATAGATATAGATGAAATTGAGCACCTAAAAAACAAAATAACCAATCTTAAAGAGAAGCTAAAAAAGTTTAAAAAGGTTCAGCTGAATATAATGGCATCAAAACAACCATTAATAATGTGACCAAGGCAATTGCTAGTGAAAAAGCTAAGGCTAATAAGGTTTAGGACCACTGTCATATCACAGGTAAGTTTCGTAAATCAGCCTATAGGGATTGTAATCTCAAACTCTAAATACAGGATTGGAAGACCTCAATTCCAATTATATTTCACAACTTTCGAGGCTATGATTCTCACTTGCTTTATGAGTCTGTCGGGTGATCAGCTAATGCTCTTCATATCCAAGTTATAGCTAAAACATTTGAGCAATATAAGTCTATGAAGGTAGGTCAACTCAAATATATAAATAGCATGCAGTTCATGAATAGTAGCTTGGCCAGTCTTACAAAAAATTTGGGTGATAACCACCCAATAACAAGAGAATATTTCAAAAATTTAAGTTATACAGAAGAGTAATTAGTATTAGTATATTGTAAAGAAGTTTATTCCTATGACTATATTGATTCTCATGATAGGTTTCAGGAGACAGAACTTCCTCCCATTCATGAATTTTATAGTACTCTTAAAGGTAAAATCTCACAAGATGATTACAAACATGCTCAGAAAGTATGGAAGGAATTCAGATGTAAAAATCTAGGTAAATATCATAATCTCTATCTTAAAACTGATGTACTTAGTCTAATAGATGTCTGGACAGAGTTTCAAAAAATGTCTATAGAATATTATGAACTTAATTCCAGTCACTATGTTTCTGCCCTATCACTATCCTGAGATGGAATGCTTAAGTTAGGATTGAACTTTTCACAGATATAGCTATGCATGATTTTACTGAAAAAGCTAAACATGGTGGTATATCTATGGCCTGTCAATAATATTTTAAGGCCAATAATCTCAAGATGGGAGAAGCCTATGACCCATCCTAACCAACTACATATATCTCATATGTAGACACAACAAATCTTTATGGTCATTCTATGAGCCAATATTTGCCTATCAGAAATTATCAATGGGAAGCTAGTCGGAAATATTTACTAAAAAATCCAGCTATGTAGAAGAAATATCTTGAAAAGATTCTCAATACACGATCTGATGCTAAACAAGGGTATTTCTTAAAAGTTAATTCTCATTTTCCCTTAAAAACCCATGACTATTTATCAGACTTATCTCCAACCATGAAAAATGTCATTGTAGAAAAGGATTAGTTATGTCCTTATAATGCTAAACTTGTAGAACAATTAAATGGTGGACGCTTCTCTGCCACAGAAAAATTAGTCCCTCATTTTGGATCACGAAAGAACTATGTCATTCATTATCTGGAGCTTCAATACTATGTGGAATTAGGTATAGTTGTAAATGAAGTTTCAGAGATACTCTTCTTCGACCAGACTAACTGGCTTGAACCATATATAACTTTTAATACTGATCTACGTAATGAGGCTAAAAAGCTGGAAATACATTTCTGAGTGACTTTTTCAAATTTATGAATGTATAAGTATATGGCAAGACTATGGAAAATGTTCACAAGTATCAGGATGTCAAGATTATGAAGAATAATAATGAGCGAAATGAAAAAGCTTTCTTGAATAAGGTTCACATGCCATCTTTCAAGTATGGCAGACCACTTGGACTTATATTAGTAGGAACGCATATAGGAAAAGCTAGCGTGACTCTCAACAAGCCTATCATAGTTGAAGCATTTGTTTTAGAACTTAGCAAGCTTCACATGTATAAATTCTGGTATGGATATTTGAAGGAAAAATATGAGGATAATGTTGAACTTGGCTATATAGATACAGACTCTTACTTCTTCAAAACTAAGACTGAAGATATCTATAAAGATATGTCTAAGCGACCTGACCTCTTTAATCTTAATAAAGATCAAACAGTTGGCAAATATAAGAATGAGACTCCTGGTAATGTGATTTTAATGTTTACACATATTCAGGCAAAATTATATCACTATATCTTAGCTGATAAGTTCATGAATTCTAGACATAAAGGGTTAGCAAAAAAGGTATGGATGAGATGGCTATAGATATGGGAGCTTGTCAATAGAAAGGGGGAAATCTAAAAAAAAAGTTTTTATAAGTTAAAGTTAAATCTGAACTTATTTTACTAAAAAAATCATATTTAGCATATGAAATAAAATTTTTATATTTTTTAGATTTCCTCCTTTTTTATTGACAAGCTCCCATATATATATGCCAACTTTAGAAGGATCATTTTTTGATGATCCAATAGATAAATCATTATTATCAAAACAAGAAGCTAAAGATTTGACTATGTGAACTGAGGCAGATCCTATGACTTTAGTATACAGTCAACCCTTGATATAACGAATTTTATGTCCTGAACTTCAACTTCGCTATAGAGCTATAGTGAATTTTTTAAAGAATTTGATTGGCTAGTTCGTTATAACGAGGGTAAATTTAATATAGTTGTCCAAAAAATTCGTTATATAAAAATTCGCTATAGAGAGGTATGACTGTATCTGGTTTCTGATAAATCAGCAAATCATTTTCTTTGCAATATATTTCCCTATTAAAAATATCTATTATTAGATAATGCTTAAGTAATTATTTTTTTGAAATCACCTTTTTTTATATATATATATAGTATAAATTTTCAAAAGATTAAAGATTCTTTTATTTTATAATATATATATAATTATTTGGTTTTATTTTTATTTTTATATTTAATAACTTAAGATATTAAAGATTTTTATAATATGAAAAATAAATTACTAGTATGTTATTTGAATATTATACAAATAATTATTAAAATAATTCAAATAAATATAAAACATTTTAACTTTTTTTTATCTTTGGTATTAATTCAAACAAATATTTAATAATTGATTAATAATTGATTAATATTTTATATTTTAGTATACATAATAAATTCCAAAATATCAATATAAATATAAATTAATAATTTAAATATCTAACAAATTATGAATCTGAATTTTATAACTAAGAAAGATATTTCAACCTTAGTAATAGTAGAGTAAAAAAATAAAAATAGAATTAAAGAAATAAATTTAAATTTATACAATAATTTTTTAATATTAAGACTGAAAAGTTATAAATTTTATTTTATTTTTAAGTTCTATTACAATTATTATTGTAATAAAATAAAAATGAACTGTAAAAAACTGAAGTGATTTTATAAAATCTATAAAAATATTAAAAAAATATGTAGAATGTAAAATTTCAATTGTATATGAGTGATTTTGATCATAAATTAAATTATTCTGTAAGGTATTATAATTAGAAAATATAATAATAAGTGTAACTAATATTAAAAATTTTATTTATTTCATATTATACTATATATAATATATTATAATAATTAGGATTTTTTAAAATTAAATCAAATCAAAAATTGAAGCAATTTAAATTTGATTTAATTTATATAATAAATATTAAAATAAAATTATTTCTAAAGTTTTAATTAAAAAAATCATTAGTAATATGTATTAAAAAATTTTAAAAATAGCTTTTATAAAATAAATTTAGTAACAAATAACTTTATAATTTCAAAAATATCTTATAAAAATAATCTACAGTTTTAGAAACATTTTTTTTACTAAATTTTATAAAAATATCCCAATAGCTTTAGTAATATTTTTTATTAAGAAATATTTTGTAAAAATGCCTTTATAACTTCATAGACATTTTTTACTTGTATAATGATTCTGAAATTATAAAGATAGTTGTTACTAAAAAAAACTTAGTAAAATAACTTCATAGTTTTAATTTTACTAAAAACTTAATAATAATCACCTTCATATTTTCAAAATCATTTTATAAGTAAAAATGATTATGAAATCACATAGATATTTTTACAAAATATTTTTTAGTAAAAAATATTTCTGGAATTATAGAAATATTTTACAAAGTATTTTATAGTAAATATATTTCAAAATCAATATTATTTTATAAGATATTTATTAGTAAATAATATTTTTAAAGCTGTAAATTCATTTTTTTAGAAAAAAATATTTTTAAAATTGTAAAACATTTTTTACTAGTATTAATTTTCTTAATAAAAAATATTTCTGAAGTTACAGAAAAAACATTTTTGAAGCTTTAAAGGCATTTTTTACTATATTTATTTTAGCTCTAAAGATTTAAAGATAGATTTACTAATTAATTTAAATCAATATTTAATTTTAATTTGAATAAATTGAATTATAGATTAATTTATATTTGATCAAATAATTCATTTTTTAATTTAAATTTATCAAATTGAATATTTAAATTTCAAATTAAATTGTAAAACCTAATAATAATAATTATCATATACTTCTAAAAATAAGCATCTTTTTTTTACTATAGAAGTGCCTAATTTTTTTAAATAAATTATTTCTAATTATCTCTCTAAAACTGCATTATAAATTGATTTAAATTTATCAAAATGATTATCTAGTTTATCAAATTTGTAAAATGAATTTTAAATAATATAACTTTAATAATGTAAATTTTATGTTTAAACCTATTATATATTACATGAATCATGCCAAAAAAAAATTCCAAAAGCCACAAAAGTCAAATGTAAAAAAACTAATTTAACTATAAATATAACTATAAATATTATTTCATTAAACAAAAAGAAGAAGTTGTAGTAATATGAAAGTAATAAAGTAGCATACTATTTTAGATTTGATACTATTATGGTTGGATATTAGGTGAAGGCAAGTTCTGGTTTGGTAAATATAATAAACTAAAATAGTAGCCAAATTGGCTCTAGTTGAAAAACTTTTTATCCTGAAGCTGGAAAAGTTATATAAGTAGATCATTAAGTAAAGAAGAAAGGTTTAGCAGTAATTTATGTAATTGTAAATATTAAATTGTTAGAAATTTTAGAAAAAGATAATGTTAACGTGTAATTCTTGCGAACTATAACTGTTAGATGAGGTGTCAGAGTGTTATTTCTTTTAATTGCATAGTAATCTTAAGGTTTTTACAAGTTTATTATTATGACTAAATTCAAGCAAAGGTTTCAGATAAAGGTTTTTTATGAGTATTTTACAATCAACAATTCACGAGGTATTGAGTAATTATATTTTCAAGTAAAATGTTTATTGATAAGATAAGAAATAGAAATAAAGAGAATAAAAGATATGACAAGAGAAAAGAAAAAGAAAATAAAGAAACGAAGTATAAAACTAAAATATAATACGATAGGCCTGTTTACCTCTTAAAAACTACTGGAAAACTGACTTGTCAAATTCTACTTTTTACGTGGTCTAAAAAACTATCTATTTATATAAAATACAGTATATAGAAAAATATAACTAATATGTCTAATATATCATATATGTTAAATCTGTCTAATATATTTTATTTGTCAATCATATCAGATATTTCATATATGTCTAAAGATAGTTCCCATAATTATTTTTAAAATTTTTAACTAGTTGCAACTTAAATTGCAATACTTTGAGTTGCAACTATTTATGAATTTTTATATTAAAATAAATTTACAAGGAGTTGCAACCAAGTTGCAACTTCTTAATTATAGTATTTATCTTTAGTAATGACTTTATCATTGGATTTGTTATCAAATAAGACATTATTTAAAGGGAATACAGGTTCATTTTCAGACATAAGGAAATTATTATAAGAAGAATATTTATAGTTCAAATAATTAGTATATTTTGGTTTATATTTTATGTTATGCATAAATTCTAAATAATTAAGATGAATGCTAATATTTTCTTTATTTTATGAGTAAACAATTATATCATTTTTAATGGAAATGATTTC